TACTTTCTTTAATAGGTGCTATTCAAATTTTATATTTCCTCCAGAGTTAGTTTCATTAATTTGTCTTCCAAGGTACTTCTTAGAAGTTGTAAAATTTATTTCAGAAAAGATTTTTGTAATATGCTTTCTATATCCTTTTAAATTCTGTAAAATCTGTAAAAAAAAAAAAATTGCTACTTATCTAGGACTTGTTCTAACCAGCAAAGCATCGTGCGGTACTCTCGAAGAGTTTCTCGAATCCCCGAGTGAATTGGTCTCAGAGAGTTAGTACAACATCCACAGTGACAAATTTACTCACCATCAATGAATTGCATTAATTCCACTATTTGTGAATCACTTTCCCATCTGGGAAGAAAGTTGCCGAATAAATCTCATTCTTTTCAGTATCTTGGCTAGGGAGGTTCCAAAAAAAAATGGATTAATCTTTTATGACCTGAGAAAGTCAGGCTTTCTCTTTTATTAATTTACTAAGTATTCTTTTCCACATGAATTTTAGCACAGTGGAAATATGACAGGTGGCAGAGGATGAGCGTAAGGGAAAAGAGGTAGGAGGCCCTCTTGGAGGTTTCTCTGTTCATAAGATTTGGGATTGACTTTGGCTTAAAACGGGGGCCCCAAGTTAACAAGTAGGAGAACTACTTTAACTGAGACTTACTTGCAGTTCCAAAAGCATCTCAAAATTTTAAACGATTCATCACAGTCCTAGAGGTCCAAAGTCTTAAGTTCTTACCTTACTCCTAAGCATTTCCACAGAAGCAGTCTTATATAATGTCAGTGTATGTACTTAGGAACCTCAGTGATCTAGATCAAACCTTAATGCCACCAGTGTTCACTGTTTGACTTTGGCCAAATTAATGTCAGCTCTTTGAGCCTCAGTAACATTCTCTGTAAAAAGGGAATAAGAATAACAGCACATTAGAGGGTTATGGTAAGATTAAAAAAAAAAAAGGATAATGTATGTAAAGCTCCTAGTATTGTGCGTTGTGCACTGTAAACCCTCACCAAATGGTCACTGTCATGGTGGCCTTGTTTGGGCCCACTCACAATTGCTCCACTTGGCTAGAAAGGGTGCCCTGAATGGTGTAGGAGAGTCCACTAGACACTAGTTCAACTCCCTGATGTACAAACAGTGAGCTATAGACAGTTTTGCTGAATCTTGTTGACATACCTGCCCAATGGTTTTGAATCTTATTCTGGAGACTGATCTGCTTGTGCTCTCTCTCTCCCTCCCTCTCTCTCACTCTCTCTCCCTCACTTCCTTCCTTCCTTCCTTCCTTCCTTCCTTCCTTTATTCTGGTATAGGAAACAACACCGGAGATGATATATGAAAATATTATTTCTCCCAACCTGTTAGCTGTCTAATTTGCCAAGTTTGTGTTCTCTAAAAATCAAAGAATGAATTCTAGGAACCAAGGAGGTTAAGAGCAGAAAGATATTTGTTAATAGGATAGCTCCTGAGAGGCAGGAGGAGTCCCAAATTGATAGCTGGGGACCCTACTTTACAGAGGAGTTTTATAGAGCAAAACCCATGTGTGTATAACATGGACTACAGCCATGATCAACCAATAAGTTACAAGTATAGTCACTTAGGTAATAGTGGTCCATTTGGGAAACAAGTCACATAACAAGTGTGGATGGAAAGAACAAGGATTCTTCTAGGAAGTGGTGGGTCCAGAGATCTCTGATCACCCACTGGGGTGACTGACGTTTATCTAAACTTCATTAGGCCTAGTGTTTGTCCTTTGAGGAGGTATAGAGGTCTGTTCATCTTATCCCTAACTTAAGGCCAGGCCTCCAATAGATGTGTCTCCAGCCTCAGTTGTGATGTGTTTCATCTTTGTCCTGACTCTCTTGAAGACCTAGCCCTATTTGACTCCTTATAATATTTCTACCTAACTCAGCTGTCTATAATACTTCCTTCACACAGAAAGCATGGAATTAGACTGCAGGTCCTGGGGCAGGCCCTTGGAGAAGGGAGAGTCCTTGACTCCTGGAAAGGTAAAAATGTATAGAATTCCTTTTAAAACAATAGAAAGCATATCTGTACATACAGATGAGCTAGTAATGAGAGACATACAATTTAATTATTTGATAATAGTGTTAGCACATAGGGTTCCCCAAGGCCAGGCACTGTGTTAAGAGCTTTATGTAAGTTATCTCATTTAATCTTCGAAAGGATTCTAAAAGCCAGACACTATTATTATTTTAAACTTTAAACCCAAGGATTCTAACTCCAGCATCTGTGCCCTTGGCTATGATCCCTAACTACCATTCAAAGACAATGTTGATTGCTAACTAATTTTTTAAAAGTACTCAATGGTCCCAATACAGCCTATTCTCTTTGAAGACTTAATCCTTATGCTTTGCCACCATGTCTCGATGATCACTTGCAACTCCATTTATTAGCAGGCATGGTCTTTTATATTTTTATCATCAATTTCCAGGTTACAGACAGATGTCACATGTTTTGTTAGTTAGATGATGTTTCACCAAAAGGAATGTAGGGTTCTCACTTGCATAGCCCTCTCTGGGAGGTCATCAGTCTCCCTGTTTTGCTGCTAAGGAAGCTGAGCTTTGGCCAGGTCACTCCACTGATGAGTAAGACCTAGTATGGCTTGAACACATGACCTTTGATTCAAATAAATAATGAAATCACTGTTAGTCTCTTAAAATTAGAATAATGTATTTTATGCAACCAAAACAGACCAGTGACTTTGATATTGATGGATAAACCATTACACCATCTCTCTGACACCAGTCTATTTCTAGCTCATTCAGCCAACATCACCAAGGGTCTCCCAAGAGCTCAGCACTGTCAGGGAGGCAAAAATAAATAGGATACAGAGGCTGGCCTTAAGGAACTTATTTGAAAGGGGAAATTAACATCTTCAATCAATAATAATAATAATAATAGCCATAAATGAAAGAATAGGGATCAGCGAATTGAAGGAGTTTTACAGGGGACAGAGCACATGTCAAATAAATTGTTGTCTATTTTGTCTCTTCTACCAGTTGTTTTGTTTTCACAGATACAATATATAGTATTTTATAAACTCAAATGAAAGATTTCATACCCTCAGTGAAAACATTTGAAGTTGATATTTTTAGTTTTCTATATTTACTATTTAATTCATTTTAAAGCCATTCTATGCCCTTTAACTGCCGCATTGAAAATGCCTCTGAGTAATGCACTTATGCAGTTTCTCTTTAAGAAAAGATTCTGGGCCTGTTTTTCAGATGGTCATTCAGTGATACAAACCTGTAGGACTGAGATAAATTGCTCCTGGAAACATTTTCCTCTTGGAAAATCACAGATGAGACTAAATGAGACATTTTATATATATAGTAGCAAACAGTCATAGGTACATTTCATTTTGAAAGTCCCATCTGTCTTGCAACCCAAACAGGGTTTGGCACTGCAGAGTGATTGCAGCACTTCAGAACACAGTAAGAACTAGGGATATGCACCTGAGGCCAAAGAACTTGCTGCATGTTTAACATTTGGGCTTATTTTAAAAAGCAAACATATAATTAAAACTGTAATTATGTCTCTGGATCTATGTGGCCACCATGCTTTGCAAAGCATAACTCGAATAGTCCAGCCCCCCCACTTAAGTACAACTATAGCTTTTATAACAAAAGAACCAGCAAAGCTTTTTGCTAGGATTAGAATTTTAATTGATATCATTATAGCTAAAAGTTTGAACATGATGGGAATAATGACTCGTATTTTTCAGTATCTTATTATTCATTTTACATCTTTATGTCAGCTATGTGCTCAAGTCCACAGAGTCCGTGATATTTAAATTAATAATGTAAATTTAACTATTGCCATTAAAGCAAAGAGCTAATTAGGTCCCTGCTTGCTGACTGGCAGTGTGATGCAATGGGTGAAGTGCTTTGTGCTGATAGCTAATACTGCTAGGAAAATGTGAATTGAGCTCACTTGAGATTAAACAGCCTCTAAGATTCCAAAGGAAGGGAAAAAAAAAAAAGATTCAATGAAGAGATGCAAATAGCTCATCAAGCTGTGGAGATGAAGGTTTCTGAGATGTTGTGCAATTATTTTGTGGCACTCATTCATTTTGTGCTTTTCTTCCAAGCACTCTGTGGAGATGCAGTTTTTTTCGGGCATCAGCTACACTGTGTGCCTTTCCCCATAATTTACCATTCTAAGCCAGCCAGACAAGTAAGCTGAACTTTGCCCGTTTGGTAAACACCTCTTTCAAATAAGCCCTAGCATTTAAAAACAACTATATTATAAAAAGGTTAAAGACATCCCTATTTGCCGTAAGTCTCATTTCAGAAAACAGCCCAAAAATAGATAACAGAAATGGACAAGGAAAGGCAAAATAAGGTTTATTTTAAATTCAGATAAGGAGACTGTCCTAGAACTTCTACAAGCAGAAAAATAATGCAGCAAAACATAAATGGCATAAGCACACACTCCATCTAATAGAAAAGTCTTTGGTGATTGTCAGATACAAAATGAGGGCTTCTTATATGGTGTTTCCTTCTTGAGCTGAGTCTCTGCTCACTGGCCCTCTGGCTGGCTTGTTGGCTGCTGCAGACTGGCTCCATGAGAGCTGCTTCCAGGTCCTGGGGCAGCCCAGCCTCTCTCTCTCCTCTCAGTCTCTGACACAAGTAGTGGGCCGTTTGAACTTCTAGTGGGGAAGCCAGGATGATGGGGTAGGCCTGCCTGAAGGGGACAAGGGACGGTAATTGAATATGAAACAGAAAACGGGAAATTGGCTCAATGTGCCATTTAAAAATAAGTCTTGAACTGAATAAAATGTAAATATTGTGTTCATTGAGGGATAGCTTCATAAGTCATGTGAGATGACTCCATTTTTTAAAAAATGCTCATATTCTAAGGAAACTGATTATTTAATTGGATTGCTACAACCTAACACCATTAAATATTTGCTTCATTTAATTTTATCAAATGACAGTTCATGCATCTGTGTTAATGAATCCATTTGTTAAGAATATTTCCTCATAGCTAACTTACTCATGTTCTTCCATTTTCCCCAAACGTTCTCCTTCCCATTCTCCCCATTTCTAAGGCATCAGAACACAATTCTCCGAGGGTGAGTTGTCCTTCCCTGCAGAGGCTTTCTCAAGGGGAACAGTACCACCTCCACCAAAAGCATTGTTCCCCTTTACCTCCAGCTTCACAAGAACTGCACCAAGCAGCAAAATAGGAGTCTCAGACACTAAAAGCCTATGCTGGCTGACAGTGTGGGTAGAATTCTTCTCCTAGAACTTGTCTGCATGGGCTCAGTGGTTTTTGTTTCAAACCAAGTATTACTTTTTATTTTTTGAAGAAATTGGATTGTTTAACATTTCTAGAGGCAGTGCTGCATGTAGGTTTGTAAAAATAACAGTTGAAATATATTTAGAGATTGTCACGGCTTCACAC